GCATTGTCCTCTTGCCATGCAGAAGCTCCTCGCAATAAGCATGAGTAGCACTGTTTGCTTGTTTCTAGTTCTTTGTTTAGACACATCGAAAGGCCACACACACACAATGACATGCACGTGCACCCAAACACATGCATGCATCCAGCCCTCCATGCGTTCATCCCTCCATCCATCGATGCATCTATCTGTCCATCCATCCATCCATCCATCCATCCATCCATCCATCCATCAACATTTTCATGCACCCACCTATGCATGCATGCATTCACACATTCATCCATCCAGCCTAAAGTCTAGAGCAGGCTGGATTCCGCACCATGATGACCTATTTTGGAGGTGAAGACAGACTAGCAAGCCTGTTGATACAGAGTCCTGTCGAAATCGGCGGAACAGTCCGAGTAGGCTAATTTTCAATCTGGCCCGAAGCCAAGCTGATAATTCCTGCGCCAACGAACCGTGACAGTGCAGCGGTGGTAAGTCATGCCTTGGAATGGATGATTTTGACCTTCACACTTCCGGACTCTGGACAGCTCCAGCTCCAGCCTGCAAGTCAAGGCGAATGCGAGCACAGCCAGACATGGATTGCAATCCAACGAAGCGCTGCACTGGCAGGTTTCATTTCCTTTTCGCGGACGAATCGTCTGAGACGGCAGACACAGAACGGAGCCTTTGTACGGACCCTAGAATATGATATGGAGCCCTATTATGGACCCTTGTGTATAGACCCTTATAAAATGCTATTGGACCCCTTACTATGGACCCATTTTATTTAACATCACCCCGGCTCCAAATGCCCTGCTCCGCATCCGCTTCAAAAACACACCCCTCTGCACTTGATCATAGCCATAAGGCCGCCGTCCGAAGACGAAGCCGCCAGACGCCGAGGCCCAGTGTTTTGTCGGGGAAGCCCGGGTGATCGACGAACAATGCCAGGGTCGACGACATCTGAAGACGGAGCCACCTGATGCCAAGGCCCGGGGGAGTGCGATCGGCGTGTAATTGGGGGTTCTGATTGTGTACGTCTAGGATGCATCGGCATGTGCCTTTGTTCTCTGACCATACCATGTGCATTTGTTCTCTGTCTATACTTTGGCTCTAGACTTCAAAGATCATCCGATAAAATAGGAACGATACAGAGAAGATTGGCATGTCGCGCTTGGAAGTGGTGCGGTGGGCAGTGCGGGAAGGACTCATCCAGGAGGGCCAGGACTTTGCAACTTCCTTGCGAAATTGGCTGCGGAAGCAGGTGCAGCAGCTGGAGGATGACAAGCCGAGCGACGATGACAAGAAGAAGAACAACGACAAGAGGAGCGATGATGACAAGAAGAGGGACGATGACAGCCCCAAAGATGACGACAAGAAGAGGGACGATGACACCCCGAAAGATGACGACAAGAAGGACACTGGATCGTCCTCGTCTCGGACTGATCCCCGGAACAAGAAGCCCCGGCAGGCGTAGGACATGCAGCATATGCAGCACCGCACGACACAGAGCACACAGAGCACACAGCCACACACAGCCACACACAGCACAACCAACATGCAGCACCGCACGACAGCACACAGCCACACACAGCACAAGCAACGGAAGCGTTTCACCGTGTAGGTCGGTCATCGCAGTCGTGCGTTTTGCCTGGAAACATCGCTGGCTGCACCCATGACTTTGGGTTTGCCACTGCTATCCACTGGTCGAGAGTCCTTGTTATTGTGGCCCCGGCAGGTTTCGATTGACGCTTCATTGACGTCTCGGGCCGGGACCTTACATGCCGTCATATGCCGTCGTTCGCGCTTTTTGGGCTATCGCCGACGAGTGAGGTGACCTCGAACTCCAGTGCATTCGAGGGCATCGCATGAAAAAGATTCCGAACCCCGTTACATAAGGCTAGAGGACAGACTAAATTTCGTGGTCTATTTCCGGAAGTTCAGAGAGCTTCGGGGGTTAATGTGTCTTGGTGTGAAGTTCAGGAAGGGTTTTTGCCTAAATCTAGACCGAAATCATCAGACCCTAGCACCTGAAAGCTGAAAGCCGAACGTGGGAGCCTCAATGATTCCAGTTACTGCTCCTTGTGTTCCTTAGGGCTGCTTCAGAGAATTATGTTGTAAACAACCCCCGAACTCTCCCCAACGAGTCCTCAACTCCCCACAACAAAACCCAAAGAAGCTTGAAGCCCGAACCTCAGACAACCCCACACCAGGCCAAACCCTTGTCGATCTCTTCAATCTACTGAAGCGGCCCCTGAAGGAACCCCACAGCCTGGGTTTGCAGATCCCTTCCAAGAGCCCGCAACGGAACTCCAATCAACCCAAGTCCCTTAAACCTTAAGGGCTTTGTACAGGACCCACCCCCCATAAACACACCCCAAATCCTTTCAAGGAATTCAGCTTAGATTTCCAGAACTACGGTCTTTTGAAAACATATTCTGGTTGAGTCTAAGATTGTAACTTGAGTGTAAGCCTCCAAGACCAGTCCGGAGTGAAGAGACAACTGCCCCGCCTGAAGTCCCGACAACGTGGAATTGGAAACACCCCAGGACTTTCTTCGACTTCGGCCGAGCAGGCTCACCCTATTCGAAGAGTTGTGGCTAGGAGTGTCTTAGTTGCGTTATCAAGTTATCCCATTTGTGTGCGGCATGATCGCGGTGTCACTGGGGTTGCCTGCGAGGACGGTGGTCGTGAGCAAGTTAAAGTTGTGAGAATGCCGCCAGGTCTGCAGCTGCTGGCAACACTTGCGGCTCTGCTGCAGAGGACAGACGCCCGTTGACAGTCAATCGGTTGCTCGAGTTGCACATGACACCTCTGACTGACAACTGTGCTGCGGCCGCGGAGCTCTGAACACACCGGAGCTGTGTTTATTGAAAGGTTTCGGGTATAGTAAAGGGAGTTTAGGGTTTATTTTCAATTTTACCTGCTTTGACACTCCTGATTTACTTCAGCAAAAAGCTGAGGGGATAAACACGTATGCTTAACTTACACACCTAAAATCCTAAACCAATACGAGTGAACTGTAGGTCTCAAAGATCGAATGGTTGGGTATTGGCAGACTCAGTAGTATAGGAAGCACCGTCTAAACTGTATCAAATCTTTTCTAGAACACTGCCAACTTTTATGCCAACAAAGCCACAAACCTCTCAGCACTGACTCCTACCAAAGCTCACACCCCAACCTAACATACATCGAGGTCCAGACAACTTCACTCTTAGTCAGCGCATGCCTTTGCAGCCATGGTGCGGCGCAAGCGCAGTGCCCAGGATGCTTCTCGACATCAGAATTGGTTTCACTGCACTTGGCTGTCGTGTCTAGACTAAAGCGGGAGCTTCCGTGATCACGTGAGTCGATGAGGACACCACGGCACCTGCGCCTTCCAAAGGCAAGAGCTCTTCGGTAGCAGCCGTGGCTTGGTACATAATTAGACTCTGGCAAGGCCCTCGCTTTCCCCTCGTAAGCGGCCGAATCAGCTGTGTCCCTTGCCGAGGACACTGCGGCTGCGAAGAGCTCCTCAGGAGATCCGGGAGCAGCCGTGGCTTGGCAACTACTTAAATCCTGCCGAGTTCATGCGCTATTGCTTGCATACGTGGCCTATTCTGTCCCTTTCCAAGGAATCCAGCACCCCGAGTCCGCCTAAGGGCAAGAGCACGGGACCAGCCGTGGCTTGGTAATAATTAGTTAATAAAATCACCACCTTGCTGCGCTTTTGTTGCGTGCACCTTTTTCAATGAGCAAGGTTCCGGCACCTGCTGCCAAGATGGGGAAAGGCCGCGGCAAGCGGAATCCGAGAGCCGCGCATCTAATTTCGCACTTTGCGCACGAGTGGTCGTTTCGTTCCAGTAGCGGTCTTCCCTTACATAAGGATCCGGAGTCCAACACCACGCGGAAGCGCATAGCCGGTGGATGGCAAAGCGGTTTCTCTGCCTGATTATAACCGTCGTGAGCATGAGATGCACAAATGATTTGGTTCAGACTGCGAAGTTCAGGCTTTGAGAAGTACACACAGAGACCGCCTCCAGGAGCTGGAGCCCGGGCTGCAGTATTCAGTTTGACTAAAACATCTACACAAGAGGTCTGCAGCAGGTTGCCATGCATGCCAGTCTTCGTTGTACCTCCACCCATGTCTGATATTCAATCCAGGCCCCGTGGCTGCACCGAAGGCTTCGGTGGCAGTCGGAAGCTTGCTTGCAGCAAGAGGTCTGCAGTACGCTGCCACGCATGCTATTCTTTGTCGTATACCTCCACCCGTGTCTGACGGTCAATCCAGGCCGTGCGGGTGCTCCGATGGCCGTGCCCATGGGCTCCATGGCATCCGGAGACTTGCTTGTCAAAGCACGGGGTTTTCCTAAGAAAAATGCCATGCATGCCATCCTTTCACCTCCCAATCAAGGCTCGGGTGCGGCACTGCCGCCTCCACCGCCGCCTCGAGCACCGGGGCCCATGATGGAAGGCGGCTCTGTTTCCGCTTACAGCCAGCGCTTCAAAGTTTGGGCCAACCTCTCGACCGAATTCAGCTGGTTGCGGGACAGAGTCGATCTGGAGTTCCGCCGGCGTCACAAGCTGGACGTCGCGTTGCCGTCGAGTCCGCCGCTTTCCCTCGACGGTGACGCGTTCCAGCTTCAGCGAGCGCTCCAGGCAGCGGTTTTTTTTCATAATCAGCATGCCATGTTCATGTCCTTGTGATGCTGCTCTGCTATCTAGGGGGGGGGACGGGGCCACGTCGAGGCTCTGAAGCCTGAAGCTGTGGCAGGCATGTGCACCCTTAAGGAGTGAAGTCGTGTTTCTCTGTCAGCAGCTGGTTTCTTGCTGAAGACCTTCGCTTCAATTATCCTATATGCCAGGGAAACGGGTGCATATTGGCCTTTCATATGCTTTTCCTGAGTATGCTAACTTCAACGTATTTCCTCAAGAAGAGCCAAGGCCGTTCCAGGCTAGGGCGGTCGCATGCAAGGGGCTTTGAGCTTGCTCCAACAGTGGTGAAAAGCTTTCGACCTGGGGTCGGGGCTCAGATTTCGAGGGGCTCAGGGTTTCGAGTTTAGAGTTAAACTGACTAAAACCCACCCTAAACCCCTAAACCCTCAACCCCAAGAGTTTAGAGTTTAGGGTTCAGGTTCCAGGGTTCAGAATTTTGAGGTCCGGAGGTCGGGGTTGAGGTCTTTAGGTCTGAACCCACAGGGCCTCTGAAGCCCTGACGCACAAGGGATCTACGAAAGTTCCTTTAAAGGGATCTATGAGGATTCCTTTAAAGGGGATCTATGAGGGTTCTTTTAAAGGGATCTAAACGCTGCAGCTTCACGTTGCAAAGCGCAGACAGCGGAGCTCCCCACCCTCTTGCCCTGCTTTGGGTACAGCTGCAAAAGTGGTCGGACGGATCAAACGGATAAGACACCCTTGTTACCTAAACCCCCGAAACCCTGAAGAATCAGAAGGATCCCACTGTTACTAAGGGGTGTAACCTAGGGAGTCTCCCCCTAGCCGAAGATTGTGAGTCCCATCCTAGCTCTCTAAGTTAGGGTCCCTCCTTAGGATCCTTTTTATAGAGGGGCGCCGCGCCTTCGTAAGTTCCGTTGAGCTTAAGCCCTAAACCCCCCCCTCCTTGGATCCTAAACTTAAGAGGCCGGAAAGCCTGAGCTCCGAAACCAACGCCCAAAACCCTGAACCCCCAAAACCCCCTAAGAGCCTCAAACTTCGATCCCGAACCTTAAAGCCTACAGCCTCTGCAACCCCAATTGCGAGCACTCATCTTTCTCATGACTCCCTCGACCCGAAACACCGGAAGCCCCAAAAACCCTAAGCACTAGACGTCTTCCCCCGAAGTCCAGACAACCACCTAGACCCAGCAAACCTCCCTGAACCCCCCCTCCCTCCTCCCCCCCTAAACCCTAAACCCCAAACCCTAAACCCTCAACCCTAAACCGAACACACCCCTGAACCCAGCACCCGGACCTTGGGAGGTCTTCGAAGGTGGTCACTTCTACCTCGTGGACCATGTCAAGGAGGTGGCCAGCAGCTGCATTTAATATGGGGGCATTAATAATTAGACTAGGGCTTTGGGGTATATGATACTATAGATAGAATAAGGAGCCCCCCAAAACCCTATTCTAATTATTAAGGCCCCTATATTAGGCATTTAGGCATTTAGCCGGGCGCTGGACCCCACCCCGAAAAACCCGAAGCCCTGCATGCTTAGGGTTTAGGTTCAGGGTTTAGGGTTTAGGGTTCAGGGTTTAGGGTTTAGGGTTCAGGGATTCTTCTAGGACGCATGTTGGGTTCAGGGTGCAGGGTTTCAAGGTTTAGGATGGCTTTGGTGCTTAGAAATGTATCTTGAGAGCCATCTAGCTGACTTCATTGTGGTTGCGAGCATTAGGAAGCATGGCATGCGCGTGAAAAATTTTGTCCCTGAACCCTCAATCCTGAACCCTACACCTAAACCTTCGGATGATTCGACTGAGCCGCAGCAGTTGTACGAAGCTTTCTGAAAGCAAAGTTATCGGCGCTGCTGTCCAAAGAGCTACTCGGTCCTGATCTTCCCACTTGTCTCCGTGCTGTTTCTGCGAGTTTGGAACATGTTTTTTCCGGCAGTGGGCGGCCAGGCAAGCTGTCAGGCTGCGACTGCCAACCTACCCGAAGACGGACAAACAGACATGCGAAAGCACGGTGCGGCGGAAATGCACAGAGCCGCAATGGTAACTCTCAAGAGCAGGTGAAGCCTCTACAAGCCCCCTAAGCCCTAAACCCTAAACCCTAAAACCCTAAGCCGCATCCTTTCCGTCTAAGCCCAAGGGTGAGTAGGCGAGTACTCCGGGCTTTAAGAGATGAACCCCCCCGCAGAAAACCACAGGGTGAGCCTTTCAGCAAGTCCCGAAAAACCCTAAAGCCCTAAACCCTAAAAGCCCTAAGCCCTAAGCCCTAAACCCTAAACCCTAAAAGCCTAAACCCTAAACCCGAAACCCGAAAAGCCCTAAACAACCCTAAACCCTAAAAGCCCTAAAAGCCCCAAAGCCCTAAACCCGAGACCCCTAAAGCCTTCATTCCCAGCCGCTGAACCCGAAAGGACCCGAAACGCAAACCCTGGGCCTCAGCTCTCCACTTCTAAGCCTCTCCGGTTTAGGGTTTAGGGTTTAGGGTTTAGGGCTTTTAGGGTTTAGGGTTTAGGGCTTTTAGGGTTTAGGGTTTAGGGTCTAGGGCTTTTAGGGTTTAGGTTTAGGGGTTCAGGGTTTAGGGTTTAGGGCTTGGAGACCTTCCAAGAATCCTTTAATTCAGGAATAGACGTCATCGATTCTACTAGGACCCCCTGATATGATTTGAGGTCGATTCCTTAATTTTAAGGGATTTTGGAAGGTCAGTTCCACACCCTAAATCCTAAACCCTAAACCCTAAATCCTAAACCCTAAACCCTAAACCCTAAATCCTAAATCTTCGTCATCGGCCCCGAGCCCTGTTTGAGGTTCTTGCTTTTGTTCGGGCCGTGCTGGAGGCCTGGCTTTTCGGCTTTGGTTCTTTTAGGCTTGCGGGTTTGCGATTTAAAGGTTTGGTTTTTTTGGGCAAAGGCTTAGAAGTGTAGGGGTTCATCGATTAGGCTGTGTGGGGCTTGGATTAGGTTGTGGGGCTTGCGCTTGTTGTGTTGGGTTTCAGGGTTTAGACTTTCAAGTGTTAAGTTAACAGTGTTAAGCATCTACGGCTTAGTGCCTTGACGATTCAGCCCGTAGCTGCTTCTAGAGCTCCCCGCCCTGAGTTCTGACATCCCCTAAACCCTTAACCCTAAACCCTGACAGGCTACGACAGCCGTGTCAGGCCGAAGAGACAAGTCCAACAGAGCCCTGAACCCTAAACCCTAAACCCTTAAACCCTAAACCGTAGGAGGAACGACGAGGGCAGTGGCAAGGGCCAGGACCGACCCCAAGGCAGGAGCTCCACTCGGTGCCCTGGGCGAGGACCAAATCTCGATCTATGACACTCTAGATGAGGCCTGGGCGAGGGCCAAAACTCGATCTATGACACTCTAGATGAGGCATGGCTGTGAGTCGATGCGAACATCTTGCAGCAATGAGGTAGCTGGAAAACATCGTGGAAGAATTTGAAGCTTTATGCAGCTCTGTACCGTTCTTCCGACGGCGAAGCAGTGCGCAGTTGAGGCCGTACGCATGAGCCGGATTATCCCAGGTCGCTACACAACTCATGTCACCCTACAGGAGACTGCATCGACCGAGCCGTTTGTCACACCGAGCCCTAAACTACCAAAGCCCTAAACCCTAAACCCTAAATCCCTAGACCTCAGAAGCGTTAACACCCTACATAGCCCTAAACCCTATATCCCTACACCCTGTATCCCTAACCCTGAACCCCGCCCTGAAGCGGTGAAGCCTGATACACCGTAGCCCTAAACTGGGTTCTTGTTAAGGGATTTCGGGTTTAGGATTTAGGGTTTAGGGTTTAGGGTTAACTTATGTTAGCACAATAAGGAAGCCATATGGGTAGTTCTCTAAATCAGGGTCCCGTTTTGGGTACATTTTGTTTTAGATAAGGGTGCCGTACTATATTGTGGACCTAAAAAGGGACCCTAATTTTGAGAACTACCCATCTTATTTACTATAGATCCCTATCATGGTAACTAAACCCTAAACCCTAAACCCTAAATCCCTGTTATGGTAACTTAAATTAAACCCCTTAACATATATGATTTACCCTAGATCCCTAAAACCCCAAACCCCTAAAGCCCTAAAACCCTAAAACCCTAAACCCCTAAAACCCCAAAAACCCTAAAACCCTATTATGGTAACTTAATATCCCCAGCAAAGCCCTCGACCCTGAGGGCTTTCGAGGGCTTTCAAGCCCCGTTGCAGGGTGCAGGGCTATGGCTGAACGAGGGAAGGGAATTCAAGAAAACCGTTGGAAGTTTTTTTTATTTATTATTTTGGGGTTTAGGATTTAGGGCTTTTTTAAATTTTGGGGTTTAGGATTTAGGGTTTAGGGTGACTAATTCCCAATGTTGTTAGTGCAGACCTGCTAGAACCAACCCATGAAATCCTTTTCTAGTTTATCATAGCCGCTGTACCCGTAGACCCCATTATTTCAGAAGAACCCCAGTCGAATCATTCAGGGCCTTCGATAGGTAGCTGTCTAAATTAGGGTCCCTTTTCGGGTCCATTTTATAAGGGTGCCCTAGAACTACCCATATTAAACCCTAACCCTAAACCCTAAACCCTAGGCCCATATTACAAAGTTGAAGCTTCCGTAAGGTTTTGGAAGACGCGATCCTGAACCCCTTGAGTCATTGAGGGTGGTTTGGGGTTTGAGCTTTGGGGTTTCAGGGTTCAGGGTTTAGCTTAGCGTTTGGGGTTTAGGCTCAACAAGGGGAGCTTTTTTCCAGAAGCTTCCGGTGATTCGGAGTTGGGGCTCTTTGGGTTGTGAGAGTGTGGGAGATGTCAGAATACAGCGTAACAATATCTCCTCGTACTCCCCACATAGTCATGCCAGAACATACCCGACAACCTTGTTCGAATCAGTAAGGCGCCGGTATTACATCCGATGCACCTTCCGGCAGTCGTGAGTGCCAGAGTAGGGTATAGCCCAAATTACGGTTTAGGGTTTACCCCTAAACCCTAAGCCCTAAGCCCTAAGCCCCTAAACCCTAAACACTAAACCCTAAACCCCTAAACCCATAACTCGGATAGAACCCGACA